CTGTGACTTGCTCCGGGAACAATATGAGGAGGAGCAGGAAGCCAAGGGGGAGCTGCAGCGCGCCCTGTCCAAGGCCAACAGCGAAGTGGCCCAGTGGAGAACCAAATACGAGACGGACGCTATTCAGCGCACGGAGGAGCTGGAGGAGGCCAAGTACATGATAGATGGGATGCACTGTCCAGATGTTATGTACATTGTGCAGAACATAGACCTACTTTCAGTAGCCTGACCTAAATTATTTTCCTAAATTATTTTATTGGGGTTTGCATATACACTTAATTAAAAAATGAATTCCGATACTGTACTCATTAAATTATGTACATAATACACTTATTTTTTGAATCATATGCTTGTTTTATTTATATTCCTTAAGGAAGAAACTCTCTCAGCGTCTCCAGGAAGCGGGGCAGCAGGTGGTGACTGTGAATTCAAAGTGTGCCTCCTTGGAGAAGATGAAGTTGAAGTTGCAGAGGGAGGTGGAGGATCTGACAGTGGACATAGAGAGAGCAAACACATTGGCAGCTGCCCTTGACAGGAAACAGCAGAACCTTGATAAGGTGATAAGTGAGCACGGTATCTTTTAAGTCTAGCCTTCCTAGAAGGCCAAACTAATACTCCCTACTTAAGTCAATACTGAAATCAAGTTGAGTTTAACAGTTATAAGCTCCTCTAGAGCATGGCAATAGGAATTTGTCCTGTTTTCAGAGACTGCGGTATTTATCTAGTACAGAAAATAGCCACAAATAAAATAACATTTTCAGTACTAGCAGGGAATGAAACATGATGTCTTTCAGGTTGGGGCAGAATGGAAGGGAAGGTATGAAGAGAGCCAGCTGGAGCGGGAAGCTCTCTCTAAAGAGTCGCGCTCACTGAACACTGAGCTTTTCAAAGTGAAAAATGCCTATGAGGAAACCTTAGATCAGCTTGAAACAATCAAACGGGAAAACAAGACCCTCAAGCGTAAGTGTTTGTCTCTGGTTTCCCATTAGCCGTTCACAGTCCTACCACAACAAGGCATGCTCTACAAGCACGCTCATGTCTGCACGAGGTACACTGAGTTACAGGACTCTGTCAATACTATTCTCTCCATTTTATTGGAGAATATAAATGTCTCGCCAAAAGTTGTCAAGCAAGTTTGTAAAGTGACTAAGCTATTAAAGCAAATGTCCTGGCTCTCCATTATCTGCTGCAGAGATGTAAGATCAAGGGCATTTAGGTGCCACTCCCAGATAAAGGTGATGCCCTCAAGAGGCTGTATAGCTTGTGAAAGTGAATTCTACAGATACACTGTGAACCTATGATGACAAGACCTATAGTGTTACCCTGATGGCCTATCCAGAGACGTAAACACATGCAGGTATCTTCCAGGCTCTCTGTAAGGAGGGCTGTGAAACCACACCAATGCCCCCGTGTTTATGTCATCCTGCATGAGTTGGCTCTATCTGTTTTTATCTGTACATACATATACATACACATATACAACCATGTATACACGTACATATGTGTATGCATGTGTATATATGCAGGTATACAAAAGAGGTGTTGAACACAGTCACAAAGCATAGAGTTCAGCTTCTCTGGCTACCACAGGCTGATGTCATTCTTATCTCACAGAGGAAATAGCTGATCTGACTGAACAAATTACTGAAAATGGCAAAATGATCAGAGACCTTGAGAAAGCCAAAAAGCAAGCTGAAGTAGAAAAATCTGAGCTGCGGTTAGCTCTGGAAGAGGCAGAGGTGAGTTAGTTTAATTATTACTGGAACAAGTAGAGAGCAGCCTGAACAGCTTTCTGTGCTCTCTCCTGGGCAGTGGCTGTGTGCAAGGTTGATTGCCACAAACTAGCAGTGAAGTCACTGAGTGACATCAGAATGATTTTAGCAGTTTGTGTGAAGTCACTGAGTGACATCAGAATGATTCTGTGCTCTGAAATACTACTTTTGTGTTTGTTTTTCCCCTTTTCCTTTTAAAGGCAGCTCTTGAGCGTGAAGAGGTCAAAATCCTTGGTGTCAATCAAGAACTGACTCAGATTAAATCAGAAATCAACAGAAAGATTGCTGAGAAAGATGAGGAGATCAGCCAGTTAAAAAAGAACCATCAAAGGACTGTGGAGAAAATGCAGAGTGTTTTGGATGCTGAGATCAGGAACAGAAGTGAATCCTTAAGGCTGAAGAAGAAGATGGAGGGAGACCTGAATGAAATGGAGGTCCAGCTGAGCCATGCCAACCGCCAGGCTGCCGAGGCACAGAAACACCTGCACAGCTTCCAGGGAGTTCTCAAGGTCTTGGTTTACCTTTCTGGATGATTTATTTTTAAGCACAGTATCCGAGAAATTCATTAGAACAAAATTGGCTCTTCATATTTAGGACATGCAGCTGCACTTGGACGATGCTTTCAGGACACAGGAGGACCTGAAGGAGCAGGTGGCCATGGTGGAGCGCAGAGCAAGCCTGTTGCAGGCTGAAGTTGAGGAGCTACGGGCAGCCCTGGAACAGACGGAGCAGTCGAGGAAAGTGGCTGAGCAGGAGCTTCTGGATGCCACTGAACGTGTGCAGCTCCTCCATACTCAGGTAGTTTGCTAAGACAGAGATATTTTTGGGTCCAAAGACTCACAGAGGAAGAATGAATACTAATTCATGGGCTCTATGTGTAAGAGACCAAAGACAGACACTCGAAACCTCTCTTTTTCTCCTTCATAGAACACCAGCCTTTTTAATACAAAGAAGAAGCTTGAAACTGATATGGCACAAATCCAAACTGAGATGGAAGATATTACTAATGAAGCAAGAAATGCTGAAGAAAGAGCAAAGAAGGCAATCACAGATGTGAGGATGTTACTGTGTTTTTCTCTTTGAATTTTCAGGGCTCCCCAAAGGCATTGCTGCTGGGAGTTAATGTCAATACTCTTGTCACAAGCTGGACAAAGAACCAGTCTGTGAGCCTGGTTGAAGAGGCTATGTGTCAGAGGAGGATTAGAGCAATGGGGAACTTGTCCTGCTGACAGATGAGTTATTGGGGCTGTTGTCATCATAATGAACTAAACCCACATTTAGTCAGTCTAAAACAAATAACTTTCTCAAGTGCTGCATGAAAATGCAAACTACAAAAAAATCCTGCAGTATTGAAACCAGTGAAGTGTCTAATGTATTTAAATATTTATCTTTTCAAAATTCTATTTAAGAACGTTTCAAATGAGAATTGTGAATTTCCATTCAAAATTGGTGCTATATCCTCCTGTGCAAGGCCAGTGAAGCTCAGCCAGGCAATAGGGCTGGTGTATCATGGGACCCAACCTGCTAATGATTTTTGATGCATAGGACCAAAACAAAATCTTAACACTTAAAAACATTATTTGGAGTTAAAATAGAAGGAAGACTTCTTGACTTGCTCATGAAAATGAAAAAAAAATTAGATCATTTGTATTGTTTGATTAAAACAGAAATAGAGCATTACAATGAATTATACACACACAGATATTTTTATATATATGTAAAATTTCTAATGCCATTATTTTATTCTCACATTTTTCAATTTAGACTTCTTCAGGTATTTTGCTGCCAAAGCAATTTGTTGAATTTGACATTATTTGTAAGTAATGTCACTCAGTATTTCACCAAAATGCTTAATTTGTGTAGGAATCAAATGTTTGAGAGCAAAATATATTCTAGTTTTGTCTTAAATAACATAGATTGTTTTAAACTATTTTCTGTCTTGTAACACTAGCCATCCAGGCTATTGTGGCAATAATAGGGCATGCACTAAGGCACAGCACGCAGACTCCGTCACACTCCACGTGTGTTATGCAGAGAAGCCTTTCAGCTGTGCCATGCCCTGCCCCCAAGCGTTGCTGTGCCTCCTGCTCTGCCCCACGGCACCTGGGTGTCAATGAAGGTTGCAGTAATGGCCATACAGTGGGATAGAGCATTCACCCTTTCTGTCGTTCCAAGCTCTGCGTGTGCAGCAAGGCAGATATTTTCCCATCCTTTTTCCTACTATTTCCTATCATATTTCTGCCACTATCATGTCACAGAAAAAAATGAAGCAGGAAATGCGGTGGCAGGAATGGTCAGCAGGAACCAGGAATAAATCCTCAGATGGTGCACAGCATGCACTGTTCTTTCACATTCTTCCAGTTGTCTTGTGTCATCTCCCTTCCAAGGCAGCCATGATGGCAGAAGAGCTGAAGAAGGAGCAGGACACCAGCGCCCACCTGGAGAGGATGAAGAAGAACCTGGACCAGACAGTGAAGGACCTGCAGCACCGTCTGGGTGAGGCTGAGCAGTTGGCACTGAAGGGAGGCAAGAAGCAACTCTTGAAGATGGAGGCCAGGGTGGGTACCAGCACTGAACATGGGTGTCAACTCACCTTTCTTCTCTGAGTCCTGTGTTAGGGCTCAAGCCGATTGTTGATTGATTCACCAGATCCGAGAGTTAGAAGCTGAGCTGGAAGAAGAACATAAACAATCTGCAGAGGCTATGAAAAACATCCGCAAATATGAACGGCGTGTCAAAGAGCTTACTTTCCAGGTGGGTATAAATAGAAAGCAATTCTCCTGATGTTTTGTCTCCCAGGGACGTATAATTGCACATTCCCTTTCCACAGAATGAAGAACACAGGAAGAACATGATGAGGTTACAAGATCTGGTAGATAAACTGCAGATGAAAATCAAATCCTACAAAAGACAAGCTGAGGAAGCTGTGAGTCACTAAACTGAAGCAAATACTTATTTACCATTTTCTAGGACTGTCAGTTTAAAAGTTGGCTCTGTGCCCCAGCATGTTGCCAGATGGTTTTTAGTTCCTTTTGTTCTGCCATTTCAGGATGAACAAGCCAATACTAATCTCTCCAAATTCAGAAAAGCACAGCATAAGCTAGAAGAGGCTGAGGAAAGGGCAGATATTGCTGAGAGTCAAGTAAACAAGCTCAGGGCTAAAACCCGAGAAGCCCCTTCTACAAAGGTAAGCCTTTATTGCAGGAGGCAGGTGTGCAGTTTGTACTGTTTGCTCAAGCAAGTCAAGCAGTAAATTTGTGCCTTGCCGGTGGGTATAGCCGTCACTCAGAAAGGACAGTTCTGGAAGGAAGGGACTTTGAAGAAAGGCTGAGAGAGTTGGGGTTGTTCAGCCTGGAGAAGAGAAGGCTCCAAGGAGACCTTATTCTGGCCTTTCAATATATAAAGGAGGCTTATAAGAAAGACAGAGAAAGACTTTTTACCAGGGCCTGTAGTGACAGGACAAGGGGCGATGGTTTTAAACTGAAAGAGGGTAGGTTTAGGTGGGACACAAGGAAGAAATATTTTACGATGAGGGTGGTGAGACACTGGAACAGGTTGCCCAGAGAAGTTGTGGATGCCCCATCATTGGAAGCGATCAAGGTCAGGTTGGACGGGGCTTTGAGCAACCTGATCTAGTGAAAGATTTCCCTGTCCATGGCAGGGGTTTTGGACTAGGTGATCTTTGAAGGTCCCTTCCAGCCCATTCTGTGATACTATGATTCTATGACTCTGGCATTTCAGGCTCTGGTGCCAAGCATGAGCCTTCTGGCTAGTTTCATCACATTCGTTTCAGATTTGAGAAACTGCCTCATAAAGTGAAACTAATGAGAGCCAACCTAACTGAGCATTCCTAAAACAACTTCCTGAGAGCCTTAGGCAGAATTAACGTTCTGATTGAGAAATATGCAGCAGCACTGTGTCCTTAGCTGAGCTTCCTGGGCAGTTGTCTATCTCCAACCCAAGACTGTTTGGTACAAGATCTAGAGCCTATTTTTCCTAGTGTGATCTGAGCAGGTGTAACACCTTTTGACTGCACTAGTCTAGCTCAGTTTGTGGTTGGAGGTAAAATATCCTCAGTCCATGTTTTGGAAAAATTACTAGTGCCTAGAGCACATATCCAGGAAATGGGGAACCTTGGCTCCAGGTTACCTTCTTCTTACCCGCAGCATCCTCTTACTTGTACAGCATTTTAACTCTAGAAGAGACGCTATGGGGAACATGCTTTCTCCTGAAGGCTCTGGCCTGAGACTCAATAGACGTTGGTTCTGCCAGAGGCTGGTGTGCAACTTTCAGTGAGTCACTTAATGCCATGCTCCAGTAAAAGGCTTTGACTCCTCAGTGCTTGTCAGGGTATCTTGCCAAGACCCCAGGGGAAGCACTTGGAAGGCTGAGTCCAGGTTCCTGAGCAAAGTCTCTGGACATGAGATTACCTTATAGAGGGAATGCTGAATCTCTAACTGAATGCCCCCCTAGACAGGGGCAAGATTTCAGATATCTCCTATGGGGTATCCCCAGGTAAAGGCAGGTTGAACATGCTGACTATGGGCAACTGTGCAATATGCTACAGTTTTAGATCCTACTTTGAGGTGCCTGATACTGTGTAGTATATATGGAGCCTGGGCACCTGGCATGAGTTCTGGATTCTGCTCTGGGAGGCCTAAAAATTAAGCATTGTAATGCCTAAATCTTTTAATAGATCCAATGGATCAATACATCCTTTTACTCCCTTCCATGCTTTACATTCACTTTTAGAAATGCTGGGATACTCCTTGTCCCAGAGGATGGGGGTGCAGGTTGTTTAAGCACTGCAACAGTAAAGCAGCGCTTCAGAAAAACCGACAGATATGTTTCTCCATTTCAACCCATCAGTCCGACAGCATGACATTTGATGATGTGTGGTCTTAAGGGTTACAGACACCGCTACGTTGACCTGGGCTCCGCTTGTGCATCCTAGCTGGGTGGCGCGTTGAGACAGATGATTTTAGGGAACAAAAGACTCATCTTGACATGTGTGGACTAAACAAAGCCTCTCCTTTCCAGGTGGTGTTAGGAAGTGAAAAATGAGCTTCCTCTGGGATAACCAGAACTTAAACGAAGTATCTTTCCAGCTGTGGATTTGCGGTAGCTAGAGCTACACTGGTAGGAAGTATTCTTCCATTTGCTTATGGACACAAACATTTTCTGTCACTCTGCTGCTGTACCAGTGTCAATAAAGTAGATCTGCAACTTCAGATGCTCCAAATGTTGGTGTTCAGATGAGAGACATTTTCTTTCTAAGTTAAGCATAGTCAAAACTGTGGGTTCAAGTCTTACTGCTGCTATGATCATGTTTGAGCAATTTTGTCCTGGCCTTAAAATCTAGGTGTTTGACAGGCTTCCTCCGTACCTTCTGCTTGAAAGCAGATATCCTGACCTTGTTAAATGAAGCTGAGAAGAGACTACTGTATGAGCACGTCAAACATGCAATGTGAACAAAATTACAGCATTCATGCCTAGTTTCACTGCTGTATCTCTGCATGGGAGAACAAGACTGGTCTAGCCTGTGAGCCCACAGCCATCTGTGTGCATTACAAATCAAGAATTTCTAATCTTCTTGTAGTCAAACTGCATTTCAGAAAGTTTGCCCACTTCTGAGCTATCCAGTTTGCAGCTCTGAGCAGATGAGGACTTGAACTTAGGTGTCTCACATACTTGTTACATTGGAAGTAGTTATCAAATGGTCTGTAATGTTAGCAGCAAGATCCGAGTAGCTGCTTGAAACTTATCTCCCCAGTGGCACTGGGCACCATAATTCTGCTTGATGTTTCCCAGAGAGAAACGCGTGTTCAGCTACTTTGTGGTGTATGTGTGGTGTAGTTGAAACTGCAGGATCTCATGTAGTGAGAAAAACCAGATACTTCGGCACTGGTGAAGACTGCTGAGGAGACATACCAGGCAGCACAGTAAGGGCTAGAGAATGAATGGGATACCTTTGTGCAGACATCCCAGTGTTCTGAGAAGATGAATTAGTTTGTGCACAGCACTAGATGCTGAGTCAAATAGGATGCTGACGCTGTTGGGAAGTTCCAGCTGACTGCTTCATGTCTGTGTGCCTAGGAAAGGTATATCCAAATGGATCTCACCTTACCTCGCTCCAGGACACAGCCACACCAGCACTCAGGAAGCAGTCTGGCCTGCTTCTGCTGTCAGTAACAAAGATGGGAGAGGAGAAACCCAAGATGTTCTGTCACTCCTGTCTGAAAAAGTGATGGGCGTCACCTCTTTCTCAGTTTTCAACTACAAAGAGGTTAATAAAACCAGCAGATACCTGTCCCTCCCATGACACCTTTGAAGATTTCACCATGGCTCCCTATTAGACTCCCAGTTTTTTCCATTCCTCTTCATCCAGTGCACTCATGCTCCTTGTCGAAGAGTCAGGATGGCCCTACCATCATGGTCAATGTCTCTGCCTAACTCTTGCCAGTGCAACATTACCTATGCATGGGCTGCTCCTATTGCATGGCAGACCTGTTTCTTCCATTACCATAAAATAATCAGGAGCCTTAATCACTTGGCTGCCACCACACCAGGTCAACAGTTTACTCATTTGTAACACTGCACCATACCCCTTTGCACTGTGATCCTATGTGCCAGACACATTTGGCCCACCTGACCTGGGATTTGTACTTCAATGTGCAGAAAGGGAGGTAGAGCTGTGCTATAGATGGGACCCCCTGCTGAACACAACCTGGTCCAAACGAACAGTCCCCTGTTGCAGCCAATTAGTACATCACTTCCTTGCATCAGATAACCTGGAGACTCACATCCTTAGTTCAGGCTGCATGAACTATAAATGATTTCTCAGTTTGAGAGCAAAAACCTTGAGAGTTCAGTGCCAGAGGTACCATCTAGGAACCACTACAGAAACTAAGGTGGTGTGGCATGGCTCCCCAGGTTGGCAAAGACATTGTCATGCCTGCAGAGCACAGCAAAGCCAACTGACAGAGCAGTCCATCAATCCGTCATTGCTTGGATTCCAGGAGATCAAAGGCCTCTAACATTTCTCTTTTTTCCACATATTACAGAATGGTTGAGGTTGGAAGGGATCTCTGGAGGTCATTGGGTTCAAACCCCCTCCCACCCCCTTATCACTCCCCTCTGGCCCCCAGTGGAAACTCAATGCACACATGCTTTAAAAAGTGTCTGATTTTTCATTTGTTCTAGCAAAAGCTGATAGCAGTGTATTTTCTAGCACAGATGTTTCTCTCATCACTGACAGTTCTCCCTGCTGCCTGGGCCCTTCTGTTATTCACAAACACAAGCTCAGTTTGTTTGAGCTCTTTAGCCTGCTGTCTAGGATGGGGCTCACAGGACCCTGCCCATTGTTTCTTCCTTCACGTGGATGCCAATGAACTTGTACTCACTGGCTGGATTGACTGGTGCTGCAAGGTGGGCTCCCAAAGTGTGGGAGTAGGGCTCAGAATCGTTGGGACAGTGTCTGCAATGCTTCCATGTGTTTTCTAGGCTCTGACCTCACAGCTCTCTGGTGGGATGTGCAGTTTCTTGTAGCTTCACCCAGTAGTTTAGTAGTGCCACGAAGAGGAGTCTTTCAGGGGTTTCTTGCTAAATCTAGATCTGGTTATTGCTGCTGGAGTTGTTGTCAGTGTACCACACAGCATCCCTTTCTAGGTAGTTTAGTCCACTGGTGAATTTTTTTTTTTTCCAGTTGCAAGATTTAGAGCATCTGATATCGGGGTAGGAGGTCTCTCAGTTACTCACAGTTTTCCTGGCATCCTTTAACAGCTGGGGCATTACAGGATTGCAGATGCAATCATGAAAGTTGGGCGTCTCATTTTTATCTCCTGCATTCAGCCACATCTTCTTGTGTCCTTTCTCAAATCCACACTCCAGGACACTCTGATGAGTTGCCATGTTTCTGAGTTAGCAAGTCTATGCAAGCATCACACTTGCACAAGGGAATGAGGCTGTGAGTCCATCCATTCCCACCTTTTGTTACCGAATACAGAAGACTTGTACATGCATGTGGAGATATGGAGGGCCCTTACTGCCACATACTGGTATCCAAAAAAGGGAGTATACTGTCTTTCATATACGAAATGCAGTTTAAAATAGGGATTTTTGGAACAGTGAACACATTCAGCATTTTCAGCTTCTGAGTGGGTTTAATCTACAAGTCTAGTTTGGAAATGAGATCTCATTTTGATGGTCCAAACTATGAATCCACCCTCATACCCAGATGTTTCTCTGAACCCACTGGGACAATCATGTTTAGGCTTTGGTTCCTATTCTCAAACCTTCACAACCGTTCATCATGAATAAGTCAAATGCCAAGGTGCTGTAAAGCCTGTTGCACTTCCTTGCTTGTGTCCTCAAACCAGAGAGCTTGCAGACCAACTCTGCTGTCATCAGTCAAGTCATTCATTCTGTCCAAGACCTGGGAAGCAGATCATTTGCAAACACCAGTACAGGGACTCTGTTTTGCTCAGATAAGTAACTATTGCCCTCAGATTCCTGGTCTGAGATAAACAGAACTATTGCCAGGTGGAGCAGGGTTTGGGCTTACCGATTTCTCCTCTCACTTTGTTTTCCAGAGGTCTGTGAACTACTGCCCTAGTTAGAAACGGGTTTTCACATTTCCTTAGGAGTGTTTAATAATGATCGTTATGCAATGGCCCAAGCTTTCCTATCACTCTGCCCAAAAAATAACCTCATGAGATGCTGAGCTGATGAGCTGCAAGATCTTCAGCTTGTCTGAGAAGCCTGGAACTTTGATAAACCTTCTCAGTCAGTCTAGCCCTTAGTTTCCCCCAAAACTGTCCCCACACCATGATCCTTTCAAAAGGGGCCTCCATCCGCTGTTATCAGCCTGTGATTTTGGGGAATCAGAATTGAATGCTAGTTTTTCACACCAATTGGGACAGATCTGGATGTGTTGCTCTTTTGCTCTCCTAAGGGATGTCTTCTGTTTCAGCTCCTGCTGCCTGGAAGCAGTGCTTTTCCAGAAGATTGCCTGCATCTTGTTCTCAGCGGCTCACTGCACACTGCTGTGCTTCAGGATGCAATCCGAACTCCTGCTTTGCTCTTAGGACATGTCACTGAGCTTAGCCCACAGTGTCAAATGACTGGTTGCACGGTACGATAGTCTACATCATAGACCTGTAGAAAAACAGCTGTAATTTGCTTAGGAGTAGCTGTGCAAAACCAACAGGAAATTACTAACTGCTAGGAAAGTCTAGCAACCCTAATCAGGGGACTGTCATTAATCATTCCAGAGTATCCAGGCATCAGCTTGAATATGTCATGTAAGGCTCCCAGCCCTCTTTCCCACTTTTAGTACTGAGTTTGCTGATTGCTCTTGCCCCAGCTACACAGTCCCTGGTCTTCTGAGACTCCTTCCCACCTGCTCAAGCACAGTGGTCAGAGCACAGCAGCCCCGGCAGTCCCTGGGGAATGGGGCTCTGCAGGGATGCGGCTTTAGCAGGATAATCACTACCCTCACCCCACCAGCTCCTTTCTGCTGGCAGTGGAGACCTCTCCCATTTCAAAAAGGGGAATTTGCTTTCTTTTGGTTTAATGCTTTGGCTTTGACTCACGACGAGGTTGGCTGAATGGCCAGTGGGGGAGCCTGGCTTTCCCACCTGGCAGCCTTGAGTCCCCAGGTGGACCGTATCTGGAGACCATGGTGCCTGCATTGGCATAAAATGCCATGCATGTAGATCGGTCTGGCTAGTTTGGAGTTGAGGATCCTGAGAACACAACTACAGAACTGGGCTCAGGGCCTGCTGGTAGCAGTGCAGCTCTGTGGAAAGCCTGTGGTCCGCTTTGTGTGCTGCCAATTTCATGCAATAAGAATGAAACAAATTGAAAGAAATGCATGGCCATGGTCACAAAGCTTCACAGCTCAAGTTACTGAAAGGAAGCTTAGCCCATGCTGAGCCGTGACAGTTCAGGGCAGCACAAACAGGAGCACTCCGCTGCTGGAGAGCTTCAGAGCAGCACATGGCCCTGTCCGACATCCCCATCACACAGCCCGCCACACCAGTGAGAAGGTTTTAAGATCCTGGTTGAGTCGCAACCTGGCAAAGCTGCTCTGTAGGAACCTGAGCCTCAACACATGGCACCAAGATGGGGGGGGTAAAGCTTTTCTCTTTATCGCCAGACTGATCTTCAGGTGAGCAGCCGAGGAGGGGCTCTTCACACTGCCCACACACAGTTGTACTGTCTTGTGATAGACACAGGGGGATGCCCAACTAGCGTAGCGGTGCCTGGCAAAGCCAGACTGCTGGGGCTTGTAGGAGGAGTCAGTTTAACTTACTACGCTGCTGGAAAAATAACTTGCCCATGAATTAATGGTTGTACCTCTGGTCTGCCAGCTGAACCAACAGAGACTTCATCTGCAGGAGTGCTGGACATGCCTGGGAACGGCTCAGGAGGCTGGGACCATGCCAAGGGGCCTTCTCCCAAGAGCTAGCATCAGATCCATCCCCTAAGGGTGTGGGATTGCATTTAGTGGCAGCACTTTATAAGCTACCTAATACAAATTCAATTCCCTGACCACTTGTTCCTGTCTGCTAACACTGCTGCTGTGCATTGGTCCAGCTGAATTTGGAGTCCCGAGGGAGACTGACTTGACCAGTTGATCCAGCTGGAAAAC